ATATGCGGGGGTGAATGCTCTGGGTCTTGGAGTCGGAGGCTGGTGTGTTTCATAGCCAAACGGGGTTCTAGCCTATGGGGGTTTAGAAGGGATTAGGGTTCCCATAATAGGGTTCAGATTAAGAAATCCCTACCCCAAGAATCTTGAAACCCCCTTTTAGCCTCCCATCAGGGTTGCAAGGCGAACCGAGTTTAGGGTTTAGGGGTTCAGCAGCTCGGTCTCTGAATCCTCAACAGATACACACCCGCCCAAAGAATCCCCCTAACATCAGCAATTAAATTCGTTTCCATGCCTACACCTGCAACCTTAGGCTCTGAACCTGAACCCTAAGGTCCCTAAACCCTAAACCCTAAACCCTGAACCTGAACCCTAAGGTTTATACCGGAAGGCTGAGGCCGAAGCCTGGAACCCTAGGCCCTAAGCCTAAACCCGGAACCCGAAGCCCTAAACATGAACGGAACCCTAAGCTAGGTAGGGCTTTGGGACATTTTATATTTTCCCTTATTGGAATAAGAGGATCCTATTTACTAATATTTTTCAAAGGCTTTAAAAGCCCCAACTAGTGAGCACTACGCCTGGAACCCCCAGGCTTTAACCTGGAACCCTAAGGCGTAAAACTGCAACCCTAAGCCGTAAAACTGGAGTTATGATACTATAAACCACGGGTTACCGTACAAAGCCACGAGTCATGATGCAACCACGAGTTTTAGTACAAAGCCACGAGGTCCAGTCCAATGCCAAGAGTTATGATAAACAGCCATGGGGTATGATACAACGCCACAAGTCAAGATACACAGCCTCGAGTTATAGTACAACGCGACGAGGCATGATACCAAGCCACGGGTCATTGTACAAAGCCAGTGGTTGTGAGACAAAGCCACGAGTCATGATACAAAGTACAAAGCCACAAGTTATAGTACAACACGAGTTATGATACAACGCCACGAGTTCTAGCACAAAGCCACGAAGGTTGCAAAGTTTAAGTTAGTACATGCATGAGAGGTTTAGGGTTCGGGGATTCAGGGTTTAGGGGTTTGGGTTTAGGGTATTTGGACGTACGATAGCGGTCGGAACGATGAGTAGCAATATCCCCACTTAGAGTCACTGTAGAATTACGCCGTATTGCCGTAGTTTCTTCCTCTACAATCAGTCCGGGCTTCTTGCCTTGGGAGTCGTACTGTTTATGTCAGGTTCAGGTCCGGGCCTTGCACTTGAGATCCGCCTTGGGACTTAAAAAGGGTACCTTCAATTACAACCCCCCTCCTCAAACAAGAAAACAGCCGGCAGGACGGTAGGACCCTTAGTCTAAAGATCCCCATGAGGGGGCCCAGAGCTTGCTGAAGCCTCCATTTCGTTAATTGAGTTGCTCAACAGCAGCTTTGAGGCGCCGAGTCTTAGACCTAAGCGCAGAATCTCTACCCAGACCCCCGGGAGGATCCCCCCCTAGTTTGGGGCCCTATACTACCAAGGGTACTTTCTAGGAACCCCCATTAATGGGATCTACTTTTTGGATCCTCCAAGGGGGGTCTGGGTAATTCAAGCTCCAAGCCTCGAAATCCTGTAAACCTATACAATTCCAAAGCCCTGAACCGGAAATTTCGGGGATGGATGCATTGCTGCAAGGCATCCGGTTGCCGCATTCTGAACATCCGATCTTTTCTCGCAGAAGGGGGGGGGGCCCAGGACCCTCCTTGTACCCTCAAATAGGGGTCTATGGTCCCAAATGGTGGGTACTTAGGGTCTAATCGAGGGTAAATGGAGGGTCTGGGTTCGACAGCAGGTACAGGTGCTCTCCTGAAGCCAGCCGTCGCAGACGACGATCTGCAAAAAGGTACGATCGAGCCCGGAGCACAGACGTGGTGGACAGATCACCGGGAGCAGCGCAGGCTCTACCACGACGGGGAGCCTAAATCCCAAACTAGGAGCCCGGAATCCGAAACCCTAAACCCGTATAATCCCTTACTCTGAGCCCAAAATCTGATGAGTCCCCAAACCCTAAGCCCTAAACACTGAATCCGTAACCGCGACCACCACATCCGAAATCTCGAACTCCCGAGCCCTACCCCGAAATCCTACAACCCCCAAAGCCCGATATGCTTCCAGGAAGATCCCGTCTCTGATGAAGCCATGAACGAGAAGGAATGGGTTGGGGTGGAGCTTGGTGTTTAGGAATTGCGGCTTTATGATTTTAGGATAAAGAGTTTAGGGGCCACGTACCTGGGGTTTTGTTGTTGAAGGGCTTCTGCAGGGTGTGATAGAGCTTCTGTGCCACAGGTTACGGGTTCCTTGTCGGGGTTCGTTTAAGGTTTCTGTTACAGGCTTGTATGAAGGTATCACTAGGGCCGCAGTGCCCTAAACCCTAAACCCTAGCTTGTGGGTCTAGGGTTTAGGGTTTACAGGACTTATGTGGTTTTCTGGGCCGTACACAGTTTGAGAACGGTGTCCTCCCGGGTTGTTATAGGGTGGAAGGCCCGAAGATGCAACATAGGGCCCTTAGGCGGTAGGGGTTTGGGAATTTTAGGGGTTCAGTGTTGGCTTTGGGGTTTAGGAATTTAGAGCGTCTGTGGGTCCGCTGCGCTGGGGTATGTGAAAGTACCTGGACGCGAGATAACCTACCTGTTTTAAGGGCCTATATACGGAAATCATGATAAGGAACCATAAGTTAGGGTCTGTACAGTCCGGGTGTACATTACGTATGCGGAGGGATTTCAGGAGATTTGGTGGTGTCCTCCTCAAGTGGTTGAATTACATGGAAACAACTGGGCGATAGCATTTCTATACTCTCGTGCATTCCAAAACGACGCTACCCTCAACTTTTCCCTGCGCTTTAGCGCAACCTAAACAAGCAACTTGTTTAGGTTCGTGGCCATCTTATCTCCGATTCTGTGCAGAGATTGAGGGTTGTGCAAAACACAGGCCCATGTTTTGCTGCTCTCTGCAAGGCAAGACTAGGACAAACAACATACGCAAATCCCTGCGCATTGCAGAGTTTGGTTTCTCATCAACAAGTCTCAAAGCCTGAAAGCTGTTCCTTTGAGGGCTCCTTTCGACAATGGCTCCCTGCAAGAAAGTCGGTTAAGTAGGGGCTGCAACTTTCTTTTACATTCAAAGCATATGATAAGTAGGGGCTACGTGACGGCCCTGACCTCTAAGCCCCTATGACAAACCGCGGTTGCGATTCCTCATCTTTTTCGAAGTTGCTCTAGGAGAGACAGATCGCTTACGGTGGTTTCTTGGAGGGATTCCCGTTAAAGTTTGAGGGCTTGGGCATACGGCCCTGTCTACTTTATTAGCAGGACAAGCCCGTACACTTGAGCATGCATCGTTACTGCGTTAGTATTTAACTTGAAGCCGGAGATGGGGCGGGTGGTGCATCCCTCGCGCCCGGACTTCCGCGGCGCAAAGCTGCGCCGCCAACCGTGCACATGGTCTTCCGGGGATGGCGTGCCCCAACTATCTGGTGGTAAGACTCTGCTGTTGTGACGTGTGGGTGTTCAGATCTGGTCGCAATCACCAGCGACTGGGAAACTGGACCGTTTGCAAGCGCGGCGGGCCAAAACGGAAGGTCTGCGGGGTCTGTTCAAGCTGCAGAGGATGATCTTGACCTGGGCCTTGGTAGCTGTGGACCCTCAACCCTGAACCCTCATGAACCCCAACCGGCTGCGAACCCTCAACCTTAATCCTCAACCCTCAAGCCTAAACCCGTATATGCCCAACCCTAAACCCCCAACCCTCAACCTTGATTCTCAAGCCTAAACCCTGAAACCCTAGAGCCCTAAAATTAAAAGCTGAAACCCCCTCCACACCTTAAGTCGCAGTGGATTGCTTGCAGGAGGCTGCCGATCTCTGGAAGCAGAGTGCAGTACTCGTGGGTCTGTGAGGAGCACTGTGAGGTAATACATGGGAGTTTCAGAATATAGGGGACCCTAATGTAGTACCCTAAATATATAGGATCCTTGTTATCAGGACCCCAAAATAAGGCAGCCCTTGTTTTCGGAAACTCCCACATGAGCCTTAAGAGCAGGGGTTTACGGTTTAGACGATAAGCTTCCTAGCAGGGGCATTAGTAGTTAGAAGAGGATTCCTTACAGGGGCCTTCATAGTTAGAGTAGGGTTGCTTCAAGGGGGCCTCAATGGATACAATAGGGTTCCTCAAAGGGTCTCTTGAAGGGTTAGGTTGACATCATGCAATGACTGTGTCAAGGAACTTAGGGAACAGTAGTGGTACTGACTGCACATTGCAACAACTGTTACTTGGAATCTCAAGGGTAGTTATAAGTGGGGTTATAAGATCTGCCGACTTTGCCAGGATTGGTCGTTTGTGTAGTTGTGTGCGTTGTATCAGATGCTGGCGAGTTCCAGTGATCGATCGATTACACCCGGCGTGGCAGAAAAAGGTGGCTGCACGGTTGATGATATAAATCCTGCATTACCCAAAATAAGGAATTTACCATAAATCCCATAGTTTAGGGTCAATAAGGTTTTGCAGGATTTATATCAACCCCGGGCTGGACATGATTTGCAACAGTATCCCACAAACTCAAAACACTCTGAGCCCGAAGCCGCAAACACCTAAACCCCGAGCTTCATATCCCTGAAGCCACGAGTCCAAAAAGACCCCCGAAGGGCAAATCGCAGATCGTACACCCGATCCTGAATCCCCATTGAGTCACGGGTAGCGTTGGGAGTTTAGGGCTCTGGGGTTTAGGGTTTAGGGCTCTAGGGTTTAGGGGGTTTAGGGTGGGCTCTAGGGTTTGTGGGGTTCACCGAGTGCCCTAATAGTAGGGTTGTTTAGGTGCCACTTAAACCATTCCGAGTGACGACTTTGAGACTTCAAGCCCTACTATTTGGGGAATGACTTGGACCCTCTGGATGTAGGGTTCATGAAGCAGTTGAGGCTTGGTGGTTTGGGGCGTCAGGGTGTTGAAGTTTGGGAGTTTAGAGGCTGCGGGTCTTGCGAAGTTTAGGGTCTAAGCAAGAGCACGAGAGAGATTGGGCAGGCAAAGTGTGCGGCGACGTGCCTGCAACTTCTTGTGGCGTGGCTGCTGATGCGGGTTTAGGTCCGATAGATTTGGCGGTATGGTTAATGATATAAATCCTGCATTACCCACAACAAGGAATATACCATAATTCCCAGAGTTTAGGGTCCTTAAGGAAATGCCGGATCTATATCATCAACAGTATGTAGCTTGGAGTCTTGTGCCGTCTACCAACTGAAAACCCTGTTCAAAGGGCCGACACACGCCCAGACAACTTCCTGCCCTCAATGTTCTTGTTCTGGACAGTCGCCTGGCAACGCCCCCTAATTCAGGATTATGAACTGAATAGTATAATCTTTACAAAATGAACCACGGTATGTTCCTTACTTCCAGGTATGTTGGAACGTCTGGGCATCGAAGGGGAGGGTAAGCTCTTTTTCGAGATGGGCTCCTTTTGCTTCCCTTTTCGGCAACTGCCCGTGTCAATCACGACCGTTTTTAGGTGCTACATTTGTTCTCTTAGTGATTCCGACCACTAGATTATGTAGTAGCTGAGTGTATAAACTTTATACTCTTTGGGATAATGAACCTCTCTTAAGACTGAAAGTTTAAGCCTTTTGGGGGGCTTATGAACCCGGCTACTAAGATGGATGATACAAATCCTGCATTACCCTTAATAAGGAATATACCATAAATCCCAGAGTTTAGGGTCCTTAAGGTACCGCAGGATTTATATCATCAACCGTAGGGTTAAGTTTCTTTGATCTATGTGGGGCTTGACTAGGGGGCTATAAATCATCAACAGTAAGATTAGGGGCTTCGACTGCTTCAGGATCAGGTTCCCTTCGGTGGCTTGGCGAGGTGCAGCCTGGGAAGATGGGGTTCACGGGTAGTTATACGGGTTCCTTGAACCTCCAAGCAGGATCCTGAATACGAGAAGCCTTTAACTTGGGTACGGACACAAGTCAGTAACAGTTGGATCATATTCATAATATAGATTTGTTTAAGAGCCTTACTTGTAGCCCTATTATAGACTGCTACTGTCTGGGGTGCAGCACCAAACCTGAAGCTTCCTCTGCCCTAAATCCCCTAAACCTCCAAACCCAACCCCTAAACCCCTAGACCCCCAACTCCTAAACACTGAACTCTTACCCTCAACTTGAAGATCGGCTTGAAGACGAGGAACTTGGCCAAGTTGGGCAATCTGAACCCAGACCTTCCATAATTCCTGCATGAAGGAATATACCTTCATTCATTTACTGGGAATTCTACTACAGGTACATTCCCGAATCAAGGGATTTTGGAAGGTCTGGGAAACTTGCCGACAAGGTCCAGGCGGTCGGTGAGCAACGGAGTCCGGAGGAAGCTGCTGCCATAGCACCTAATCCCAAGACTTGGGGTTTAGGGTCTTGGCGAACCCAGACCTTCCAAAATCCTGTAATCAAGGAATCGATCGTAAGCTGTATAGGGCCCCTAGTAGAAACCCAGGAATATGCATTAAAGTACGGTAGGATCCCTAATAAATAATATGAATTCCGGTATATACCTTAACTAAGGGTTTTTGAAGGTCTTGGGGAGACATGAGCTCAGGAAATTCTCTTGGACGAAGGAGTCGACGTCAATGTGCGGAGCTCAGCAAATCTGCTGCTTGTATACGTACCTGTATAGTATGGGTGTGGTCTGCCTCAGGTGTTCCACTACGGCGCTGCGCTGGCCGCTTGCGACCGTGCAGGCAAATCTGCTGAGTGATTACTAACCCTATACAATTACACTACACCTCAAAGCCCTGGCTTAGTGTATGCTAGCTATTAATATTAACCACGTTAGGCACGTGTTGCTTTAGGCATTGACATCCACCAATGTCTGAATCAACTATCAGCTATCCGGGGCTATCCGTTTGCTTTGTAGTTTTCGAGGTCATTCGTGGCGACTGACCTTCAAGTAGCTTATCAAAGGGATAGCTGAATTCGCGGTGTTCGAAGCTTGCTCTAGCCTGCAGTAAGGAGCTGCATGCAAAGGCCCCTAAGCGTAAACTTTCAAACCTAAGCACTACACCCTCCAGCCCAAACTATCAATCCTAAGCCCTAAACCCTAAATCCCTTGCTGCCTTATCAGGAGATCGATACCAGACCGGGAAAGCTAGCCGAATTACGGTGTTGTTGTAGTGCCTTTGCCTACGTTATCCGATGGCATCTGTTGGCATGATGGCGCCTAATTGCTACGAGCTTGCCCGATACCAGAATACATTCATCGATCTCTCTAGATCTGGGATATGCGGATAAACCCGAATCACCCTCATGAAAAAAGTATTCGTGGTAAAACCTTCAGACATCCCAGCAGAACTGGTATAACACCCTACAGCAGCCATGACTCCATACGGTGCCTTTCACAACACCCTGCAAAGGCCGTGCACAAAGCCAAACAACTTCCACTGCATTCATAGGAGCCCTCGCAAAACTCCTCGAAATCCTAAACCCTCAACCCTCATCCCTAAACCCTGAACCTTAAACCCTTGGTCCTAAACCCTCAACTCAAACCCTGAGCCCTAAACCCTGAACCTTGAACCCTAAACCCCTAAACCTTAAAACCTAAACCCCTAAACCCTACAGCCTGAACCCCTAATCCCTAAGACCGGAACCCTAAACCCTAAGCCCTGAACCCTAAACCCTCACAGGGTCCTGGCTCCTCAGCCTCGCTCTGCTCCACACCGCCGCAGCTGCGCGAACGGTGCCAAACACAGCCCTCCTGGCCGAACTTGAGACTAAGAACAGGGCTCAAAGTACTGTTGATGATATAAATCCTGCATGACCTTATAAGGGCCCTAGACTATGGGATTTATGGTATATTCCTTATTTTGGGTAATGCAGGATTTATACCATCAACCGTAGTTCCTTTCTGGGATTACCTTATAGGATTCTATATACGATCCCCGAAAAGGACCTACTTTGGGGCCTTAGGGTAAGAACAGGGCTCTGGGTCATGAAGACTGTGTACTTGCTTATTCATGTGTTTGTTCATTTAAGAAAGTTTATATATGTATGCATGTATATATGTACACACACGCATATATCATACGATGATTACCTATATACCATACTGCCCTAAGACACCCTCTAGGAAGAATTGCAGGCTTGTGTTTGTTTACCCTATGCAAGGCTCAAAGTAGCCCGAAAGCCTTGTGTGGTATGGCCTGAAGAGTTTTGATAGTAGCAGAGCAGGTAGGTCGGGGTCCTGCACCCTATAAGGTTTGCCTTTATCTCGTCTGGGAATGTGGGAGTCCGGAGAGCTTTTGAGGGTCTTTGGAAATATGAGGGGTTGAGGGTTCAGGGTATAGGGCAGGGTTTCGGGTTACATAAGGGTTTCGTGGTTGATTACGCCTGAGAGTTTACCAGAGCCCGTAAAGTATCCTTGCTAGAGCCTTTATGATTGTTGTTTTGGGCGGGGGTCTGGCATCAAGTTCCAGATCGTCTGGGCACAGGTGCTTTTACTCTAGGTTCACTACTTGCTTTGGTCTCCCCTTACTGGACCGAAGGCTCTTAAGTAGCTATATGGTAGAACGCAGAGTTTCTATAGTAGAATTACTTTTATTATTTATGATTTGGGGTAAGTATCCTCAATAGGTTTCCTTCAAGGGTTCCTTGAAGGGTTTAGGGCTCCTTTGTGTGGTTTGACACATGGGATTTAGGTGCTAGCATTCTAAAAGCTTTGTTGGGGACTTAAGGTGCCCGGTCATCTCCCCACTTGTGGTGTTGAATGAATACCCCTTACATTTTCGGAGATAGGACTTACCCCATATAAAACCAAACCGAAGACTGAATTTTTTGGGGGCTTATGAATTCAACAATACTAAGTGCCCAGCCTGCGTCTTCAACTAGTCCCTCCAGTAAAGGAGCCTGAATTCTGAGTAGTACCATTCCACAGGCTTCTTTGTCGTGTCCTGACAGTAGTATACCCCAAGCCCATCGTTTTTGTTATTGATTAAGACCCTGATATTCGTGTTTTACCCGCCTCTTACGTGGACTGGGGGTGGTCAGGCACCCGCACAAGCCTCGTGAAACATTCATGTGTGCGTATGCGGCAGTCAGTAGCCTGCAGCTTCCGCAAAGAATGACTTCAACAGTACATATTTAGGCCCTAAATCAAAGGGGTGCCTGTGTCGCAACTCTATATAAAAGATGAGTACTTGGACGCTTGCTATGTGTCCTTATTGAAGGTGACCCCCGTCGCCATAGATCTCGCCACAGTGCCCACAGATCCCACGATAAGGACACTATGCTGTACGGGATGGTGACTAGTCCTTCTATCTCCGTGGTTGTAGTCTAAATTACCAGGAATCCCCGATGCTGCTCTAACCCCTTCCGAAACCCTCAATAGTAAGTAGGATGACTTCTTTATTAAGAGCTCAGATACGTGAGTTTCCGAAAATAGGGGGCGCGAATGTAGTACCCTAAGTAGTAGGATCCTTATTATAAGGAACCCCCCAAATAAGGGTACCCCTAATTTTCAGCAACTCTAAACCCTAAACCCTTTATAGAACCCTGATAGGTCCTATAAGGAACCCTTGTAGATTCCTTTAAGGGTACCTCTAATTTCGGAAACTCCCACGTCTAGCACGTCATCAGGTTATGTTGAACTCTGCCATTCGATGCTGTGCCCGGAGTATCGAGGCTTCGTCGGCCACGGGCCCTGTCAGTCTGTAAAGTTTGAAAGTTTAGGGGTTTAGGGTTTAGGGCTTTCGAGTTTAGGGGTTTAGGGTTTAGGCTTGCAGAGTTTAGGGGTTTAGGGTTTCGGAGTTTAGGGGTTTAGGGTTTCGGAGTTTAAGGGGTTTAGGGTTTAGGGTTTTAGAGTTTAGGGTCTAAGGTGTAAGGGTTCAGGGTGTAAGGCTTGAGGGTTTAAGGGTTCAGGGTGTAAGGGATGGGGGTTTAACTTGAGGGGCTTAGGGTTGTCGGGATGAGGGTTTGTGGGCTTAGGGGTCATGGACGGTCCATCGTCTAAAATGAGACCCCAGAAAGTTGGAAGACAGATTTAGGAGAAGAGTGTTGGGATCCCGTATAGTTTACCTTAAGGGCATGAGGATACTGACGTTCCAACTTTCTGCTTTCTGTTACACCTAGGATTTCAACGGGCTTTATGGCACCTTGGGGGGTTCATGGTTTTGAATATACCGGAGTTTAGAGGTTTTTACAGTTCAGGCTCTCCTCTTTAGGGCCTTGTTGTAGGACCCTTTCCATCATGTTTAGGGTTTAGGCTTGCGATATCCGTCAGGTTTAGAAGCTTCTTCGTACGGTACGTAGTACAGTACCTGACACCCCAAACCATAAAGCCTCTAAGGCCATAAACCCCAAAGCTGCGAACCCCCAAACCGGAAGCCCCAGTTACTTGTTCGTTATAGTGATAGTCCGGTGGAGCTCCGCCCTAGTCCCTGGTGCGACGAGGAAGGAGGGCTTTACTTAATGCTGACTTCCACCTCCGGTTGAGGTTGTCTAGTCCATTGGTCGAAGTTCCGATCTCAACCGGAGTTTTGTTACTACGGTTGATGATATGAATCCTGCTTTACCCTTAATAAGGAATATACCATAATTCCCATAAGTTAGGGTCCTTAAGGTCATGCAGGGTTTATATCATCAACAGTAGCACCGAGTGAAACACAAGATGAACCCTGATCTAAGCCTCCGCCTTACGCAAGGCTCTCTTTGCAAACACGACTTATCAATGCATTATGCTTTCTGTCATGTTTCTTTGCCATGTGTCGTAAGCCCTACACCCTAAACTAAGCCAGACTTTATGTAAGGTTCTTCAGGCATTATTCCACTCGAAACCAGAAGTAGACGAAGCCCCCCCCCGCCCCCGCGCTCCCCGGCAAATGCCCAGCACCTAAACTTGTTGACAACATCGTCGTCCGCCCAATGCAGATCTCTTGTAAGACTTCCTAAGGCAGTACTCTGAGCCTACTACATCCTAGAGTTTTGTACGGATGCGACGCAAACCTTCATGTCGAACTCATGGCGACCCCCCACAGAAAATTAACGTAAGGTACATTCGTTCATGCAGGCGTGGCCCTACTCCTTGGAACTTCTACATGTGCCTAGGCTCTGCATCTTTGACCCAAATGGTCCCAAGTACCTATATGGCGGATACCTACCCAAACCATGGTAGCAATTCATTCTTTATCGAAAGCCTACGTCCTACTCTATAGGTACTTAGACCCTTTGGGTGAGTGGGGTGGTGTCGCGATGCCAGAATCCCTGGGTCGGGGTATAAGGCATGAGGTTGCCAGCTTAACCAGAAATTTACACATATTGTAGGGGCTTTAACAGTTACCTAGCCTCTGCTATTTTGGAGGCTCCTCATTATAACTACAGCATAATGGGCCAAAGCCCTATTCTAATTATTGAGGCCCCTATATTAATTAGGCTTCGCAGGCTTTTGGTTCAATACAGTCATCTCTGAAGTCTGACCTACAGCACCTGCCCAAAGCCAAGTAACCGTTCATTGCGTGTTTGGACCCTCGGCGGCAGCTCCAGGGTTGACCATGTTATCCCCAACACCCTCAATCTAAGACATTTACAGGTGGATAGTTACAAGGTGGGTGGTTTCCCATAAGCCTCCCATACCACTCCTATAAGGTAAAGGGGGTCTTATGGGAGTACCATGGAAGAGGAACTACCTACCTGTAAGGGGCTTCTACTCAACCCTAAACCCGGAGACCTGAACCCCGAAACCCGAAACCGTGCACATATCAAGCACAGGTTCAGGACTCACAGCTCCTTCTATACCAATGCCTACGCAGAACCGTAAGGGTCCATATTCGTTTACACTATACATGTTGGCCTTGTTGAAGCAATCCCTAGATTTGGGCACTTGAGGGCCAAATTGACTGCTATAACAGTACATGGACCCTTAGGGTGACATGAGGGTTCCTGTTTTGGTCACAGCAAAATGTAGCCCAAAACCCTGGCTCTGATCTTACCATAATAAAGGGAACTTCAGAAAGTTGGAATATGGTTTCAGGGTAGGATACCTGATAATTTTTCATAAAGGGCTTAGGATAATCATATTCCAACTTTCTGGCTTCTACTTTATACCCAAGACCTTATTCTAATTCATTCTAAAGTACCCCTCCTACACAAAGGTTTGCAAAAGAAGCTTCAGACTCTGCCTAAAGCCCTACCCGGACCCTAAAGAGCCTTCCTTTTATGGCTCTTAAATATGATTCCGTCATAAAGGTCTTTAGCACCCTAAACCCTAAACAAGGCGTAGGTTATTTGGAGTCCATGTAGACCTGGAACAGGTTTACAGAGTTTATGGGGTTAGGGTTCAGGGTTGAGAGTTTAGGGTTAAGGGGTTAGCTTGAACATCGTTACATGCCTACAAAATTCCGCACAAAGTTGCCGAAACAACCTACCTCGCGTCTCCAAGCCCAAGTCCGAAGCACCAAAAATCCCAAACACGAATGTGCTGAGGACATGCCGGATCCAGACGTAATCAGCTGCTGTGCTAATTCTTGCGGTCGAGCGTTTTGTTTTGGTATCTTAGTCTTCTGATCTTTTATTACTAATGTTTGTGCTATTGCTTCGGTTGATGATATAAATCCTGCATTACCCAAATAAGGAATATACCACAAATCCCACAGTCTAGGGTCCTTAAGGCAATGCAGGATTCATATCATCAACAGTTTTTCTGTCATTCATCCGTTTGTTTGTTTGGAGGGGATGCAGAACAGGAATTCCCTGGAGGGGTCGAGTCTCAAGGCCCCTACGGCCCCAGGGGCCGTTGAAGGAGGAAAGTGCTCCTCAAGGGTTTTGTGATTTAGTTTTTTGGGGGCTTGGGGTTTACGGGTTTAGGGTTTGGGGTTTAGGACATTAGGGCCCAAGTTTAGGGTTTAGGTTTATTTAGCGTTGAGATGTTGTTCGAACTGGTGCCTCTGGATCTGTGAGCGTTGCATGCGGTCTTGTAAGGGCGTGAGGGTGTTAAGTGTCTTCGTCGTTGTAGGAGGAGTGCATCTTAAACCCGTCGAACGGAACCCGAAAAGCATTGAATTCGACATAAGTAGTCGTCTAAACTTCTGTTCTAAGTATTGAGGTCTCGATACGATTATGACTCCCCCGGGCGGAGATCTCAAAGCCGTCTCTACACTCACATCCCGAGACCCTAACCCCAAAGGCTAAAATCCTGAACCCTAAACCCTAACCCCCTAAATCCTACCTTAAACTACCAAACCCTACTTTTTTGTAGGTTCTTATTATAAACCCAAATATGGAATTTATAGGGACCCTACAAAATAGTAGGTTTTGGTAGCTCAAGGTAAACTCTAGCCCTAAAGCTCACACACTCTTTTGCCTTAGCGGAGGCTTCAGCAGTGCCATCTCGGGCTGCAAAGACTGGCCGCAGGCACTTGCTTCTTGCAGCGAAAGGGTTTAGAGTTTAGGGGTTTAGGGGCTTATAAGGGTTTGGGATTTAGGGTTTAGGGGTTAGGCTGGGTTAGGGTTTAGGAGTCTGGCGGTTTTGGGGTTCAGGACGCAGGGTTTGGAGTTCAGGGTTTTACAGAGGGCTTGAGGATTCCGGAGTTCAGGGTTTAGGGGTTTAGGGCTTAGGGTTGGGGGTTCGGAGGTTTGAGGATTAGGGTGGTTGTCAAAATTATGGTCCCTTTTTTGGGTCCTTAATATAATACGGCACCTAATATTTAGGGTACTCAGAAAGGGACCATAATTTTGACAACTATAGATTTATCTACACTTTATGGGTTCATGGGTTTATGGTCTCATGGGTTCAGGGTGCAGACACCCGTTGGATGTATTTGTGCAGGATCTCCTGTTAAACCTGCATAAATTACGGTAAGAAAAGGGTTGTTTGAAAGGCTTGTTTCAAGGCGCTGGGATTTCTGTTGGCCTATAGGTTTTAGAAGACGGGCATTAAGAATTTCAACAGCATTTAGGTTTGTTACAGTTTTATGTTTTAAATCCCTGATACCTAAAACCTAAAAGCCATAAAGTAGTGGGATCTGACCCTCAACCAATTAAGCCTGAACCGTTACAAACCCTAAAGCCTAAAGACGATCAGCGGATGTATGATTTAAGCTATATTCCTTAATTAAGGGGTATTGGGCTCTCCGGGTCTCAGATGCAGAAGACGCCCTGCTTCAGTCTGGACATAGTTGGAGGATTGCTCCAGTGATTATATTTTACCAATCTAGTTGAGTATTGTATATTTTAGTATACTTTTGTATTTTCCAGGCCACTTGACAGAGGCCAGGCTTTTGGCCTTCACGCATGAGGAGCTGCGCACACACGGCCTTGCCTCCTGATTTGCAGGCTCGTTCCACAGGACTGGCCGGACAGCAGGGCACTCAATGCCAGACGAGCGTTAACACTCTAAACCCTAAACCCTAAACCCTAAACCCTACACCCAAAACCCTAAACCCTAAACCCTCAACCGCAGGACGACGATTCATCGTCGCTTGTTGTCAGATGCTATTGGGCCTCTGGGAGGCCTAGGAAAGGATTTCAGAAGCGATCAATCTGGTGTTGACAGAACAGATCCAGAAGAAGTTCAAGCGTGGACTCATCAAAGTACCAGAAGGGTCCTCCACCAAAAAACGATACTTCTGATGTTGTTACAATTACGGCGGAAAGAGGGCGTGTGGCCATGAATTCCCGTCGGTTCACAGAGCCTCCCTGTGAAACCCTCACGGAGCCTTTCCAAGAGTTGGTAGAAACCGCATAGAAGAACTGTGCCAGTCCTTATCCAATCCTTAACAAAAACCTAAACCCTAAACCCTGATTGAAACCCTAAACCCAAATAGATCCCTTTAATTCAAGAAACCCTTATATAGACCCTACCTGTAGCCGAAAAGACCTACTTTTGTAAGGAACTATATATAGAAGCCGTGATAAAGAACCCTAAAAAGGTAGGCCCTGTCGGCTACAGATAAACCCTAAACCATCGAATCATAGCCCCCAGCCGAAGCCCAAGACTCCTGGGAGGTGTTGCAGCTGCTGACGATGATGCGCCTGTCTGCTGTGGAGCAGGTCCACCCTCCCGTATATATATATATATATATATATATATATATATATGCATATACTAATATACGTATATATATATATATATATATATATATACACACACACATGTATATGTGCACACACGTCTATATGTATACTGTATACATGTAGATAGTTGTTCTTTCAAGCGCGCACATACGACACATGCGCGAAGATACAACAAATGCAAGCACGAAATATACACACACACACATAATCTCACGTATATACATATATGTGCTTATATTGTATATGTATGTGTGTATATATGCGTAAGCATATATATATATATATATATATATATAGAGAGAGAGAGAGTACACGTGTATATATACATATGTACATACACATGTACATGTACGTATACATTCACACACACACACATACACACGCATACATGCATGCATGCGTGCATGCACGCGTACATACATATGTATATATTTTTTTAGAGAGAGAGAGAGAGAGAGAGAGAGAGAGAGAGAGAGAGAGAGAGAGAGAGAGAGAGAGAGATGCCCCGCTTGCTGTGTGTGTGTGTGTGCGAGTATACATCTGGGCGATTTCTCTCTGTTTATCTACACACACATATATTGGCAGACCTAGTCAAAACTTCATAGGGTGACTATGTCCTTAGGGGTTTCTTGTTGGGGGAATCGTATACTATACCCCGCAAATCATTTCAAACCTTGCAGGGCCCTATTACTCTCAGAGCTTGGGGTTTGGGTTGAACTGCTTCTGAGGTCTTCGAGCTCCCGGGGTTCCTATCCAAGACTTAGACCGCCAATGGGAGAACTTTAAGCATTGTGGCCTTCCCGTTTTGGTCCTTCTACGCCTCGTGCTTCGGGATATCAGGCTTCGAGGTTTGGGGGCTTTAGGGTCTTTGGTTATAGTTTAGGGTTTAGGGTTTAGGGTTTAGGGTTATTTCAGGAGTTACAGTATCCGATATACAGACCGTATGGGCAATGGCCAAGGCCCCTACATATTAGTGCTTGGGCCACTTCGCTGTTTTGGGTCGGCAGGGTTGACGGTTTAGGATTTTTGCACTACAGCTTACGAAGACAAAAAAGTCAATACCGTTTGTGTGAACCGTAAAAATCCAACCCCTGAACCAGGACACTGTGTGCTACAACTCCGCTATCGCCGCCTGTGCGGCTGGGCTCTGCTGCTGATACTCCTGTTTATATAGTATAAGTATCCCGTAGTGTATAGTCACCCATGGAAGGAGCCCGAAATAGAGCTGTCTCTGGTTTTCAATAGATTCTTGGAATAGTGTCTTCAAGAACCGAACCCCAAACCTTATTATACCCCGAAACTAAACACCGATGATTTGCTCACCTTATCTTCATTGCCCCACCATGCGCTGCTTTTGGTAGCTTACAGTGGGTAGGGTTGAAGGTTTAGATTTAGCATTTAACGTTGTTTAGTGTTCAAAGGTTACAAGTTATAAGAGCGTAAGGTTTAGGCTTCAGGGCTCTAGGTTTTAAGGTTCAAGTTCAGGATATCGGGCCCCAAGGTCACAAGCCCAGAATCGCCGAAACCTTCAAGACCCCAAACCCTAAATGGCTGAAATCCTAAAGCCTGGAAGCCCAGCACCAAGAGCCTGTGGACCCTCCCAAGGACGCTGAGGCCTGGCACGTTGCGCTTGAGCTCCTGGCGGCGATGGAAACAGGAGAGCTCGAACCTACTGCAGCCTGGCCTGCAACAATGTTAGAATTTAGTGCTGTCGGTAAATATAGAAGTCTGAAGCATTAGTAGTAGTATGAAACTTCAGCCCCTAGTGCCCTAAACCCCAAGCCCGCCAATCACTGGGAGTGCGTGGATGCCGGCTTCACGGTTGCTCGACAGCCCTAAACATGGCTAGATTCCAAAACCCTATAAACCCTAAATGCTACATATGGGTAATTGTCAAAATTAGGGCCCTTTTTTGATCGCCGCTCATGGTTTCAACTCTGGTTTCCCGGCGTTGCCAGGCCCCTCAAGGCCCTCCTAAACCCTACCTAGGATGCGCAGTAGTACCCTTTATTCCCCTTTTGTAGTCCTAGGTTCCTTCTAAAGTTACCCTGTACCAAAACGAGAGGCGTTTTTATTCTTAGGTTACTGGGTATCCTAGCTACTTCTTTGAGTTGCTACTAACTGGGTTCTTAGAAGTACGTGTCCAAAAGGGAGTTTCCGAAAATAGGGGACCCTAATATAGTACCCTAACTAGTAGGATCCCTATTATCAGGACCCCAAAATAAGGTACCCCCACTTCTCGGAAACTCCCATAAGATCATGCATCCCAGAAAACCTGTTTTTTGCCACATTCAGGCCCCTTCACTAGAGTTTCTGGCTGAGGGACTTGGATCAGGGCAATTAGAGACAGAGTTAGTTTTACACATCGTACCTATAATTTCCGTATAACCCGGGTGTAATGACTTCCAACTTAAAGCTGTACTGGGCTTTGGAGTACCATACCTTAACACTTTTTGCCTAAAGGAACCACTATCAATTAACAGGTTATTATGTTTTCTTGATGGTTCCTTACAAGCACAGTTTATGTAATTACTAGGGCCAATGATCAATAAACCGTCAACTGCGAAAGGCCCGAAGCTCAGAGGCCTCAAAAGGTGGGTGAAGGTAGGCGTGGTAATCCAACAAAAAAAGAGGGATCCTTAATCCTCGGCCCACCTCTTGAGGCCTCCAAGAAGCAGAGTCGATAACATGCTGACACAGGAGAAATTCATTGTTGTTCCCAGGCATCGGCTGAGAGTTTCATCAACAAGAACGAGAGTTCCCGATCTAATGTAGAATGCTGATTCATTTTCCTTCTTACGGTTCTTGAACAATGATTTCCGTGTTTCGGCTCCAGTGAAGAACACCCCTTGGTGTACCGAACGTCAAGAGCCCGACCTTCTTGAATGCAGAAGCCTGGATTTTTTGAGCAGTGCATAGGGGTCTCACCTATAATGACAGGAATGTCCTCCGATAGCGTCTTTATATAGTCATGCATACGGTAGCCGTAAACCCTAAACCCCAAAAAAATACACCGGCTCTATGTACTGAATTTGTTGGATTGGCAGTGGCATCCTCGGATTCTGGACACGCTTCAGCATGCCTAGTTTCTAGACGGCTCAAGCTCATGGGTTTAGGTTTTAGAGTGTGTTCTTGTGCTTCAGGCTCTTGGTTGTCGAGGAGTATTCTGATTTTTGTTGCAGAAGGCACGACATGGGTAGTTGTCAAAATGAGGGTCCCTTTTTGGGTACCTGGGATAATAGGTGCCGAACTATATTGGGGACCCAGAAAGGGACCATAATTTTGACAACCGCCCACATGTTTGCATACGGGGGTTGTGCAAAGCCTGGCCTTCTTGTCTCGCACGGGTATAATGGGGGCTTCAACAGTTTAAAAATTTCCAGCTGCATTACCCACAACATTGTTTGCATTATGGCCAACGTTTAGGGTACTTAAGGTACTGCTTAGGGAGCCCAGGGTTAGGATCTAGGGCTTCGGATCAACCACCAAGCCCCTTCTTCGACGCTCCTTTGGCTTGGCTTCTAGGGCTTCTTGGGTTCTTAGTTAGCTAGTGGTCGGTCAAGCATTCAAGCTTAAGTCTGTTAGATGTTATGCCTCTCGTTACGAACAAATGCAAGCTGAACATTTACACGCATCGGCTCGTGGCTTGTGCAGGGGGGTTAGTATATATGGAGATTGCAGGGTTTTTTTACATGGTTAGGTTTTGAAACAGACTTATGTTTCAGCTTGCAAATCTCCCCAAGCCAAAGTCTTGACGCTGCAATACTCATTTTGAAATTTTCAGAGTTATCATGAGGTGAACATTCTGTCACTGTCCTGTGTTTCTTGAACCCGAGCTGGCTTGTCTGAAGGTTGTCTGGGTTCTAATACCACAGTATGTTCAAAAAAAGCAGCACACAAGAAATGTGCGGGACGGCGACTACGTATGTTCCATGAAAGCTGCTCGACCTCGGTAAGGTGACACCGGTGATGCTGCACGCCATCAGGAGTGTAGTCAGGAAATGAAATGAGTTGTTTGCTTGAGCTAACTACACATAGGCTCCTATTTATTGTAGGTAATACACAGTTCAGTTCAGCCGTGTTTGAACAAAACCAGTGCGCTGAATCCTTGAGTTGTGCAAGCACGGCTACACTGCCAACGAAGTTTTCACGCCGCTTGAGGATTTTAGGGTTTTGATTGTCGCCGTCGGTTGAAGACGTGCTCCAGATGCTTGCAAGACTGCTCTGATTTCGATGTACAGCTTCGCAACATTGACAAACTTCCTTCTGACCGCCGACATTCGTATCCGTATCTGTCATGCTGTGTAGCACTGTTCCCTTTATGCCGCCCCATCATGCCGAGCCCAAACATACTTCAGGATGTAGCCTCCTGCGAATCAAAAATCTTGCTTCGCAAGCTCTGGATCATGAAAGGCTTTGCATCGCCTCACGCGTTCCAATATTGAGCCTTGTGGGTCTTGTGCCCAAACGGGCTGGGCCATGAATCCAGATGCCAAGCCCGTACACGCAACAAGTTTTCTTCCGGACGATTGCGTCTTGAGGGGTGCCGGGCCATGAGGAGCGAGCCATAATATTACAATGTGAACAGACGGGCTTCGTGGCACACTCGCACCAGACCGTCAGCACCTCATGAATCATTATCCCAGAAGGTATCAGGCCTGCTTCTTTCCGACATCCAGGTTGTTTCCTACAATGCCGCCATCGCAGCATGCCGGAAACTCAAAGGTTTCAAGTGTTCGCTTTTGATTGTGCCAGCCAGCATGGTAAACCTTCCACCCGTGAATGCCTATGCCTTGGAAGTTGTAGAACGTCAATCTTCCGCAAACGTTTTGCCATGTGGTTGGCCCCATGAAGCGTAAGCCAGCCCAGTAATAGAATTCTGATTACAGGGTTACGGTTTTCGGGCCGTCGACAGAGCAACGCCTCCGAATTCAGTGAAGTCTGAGGTTGATGCCATGTGCTGCAAGCAGCGTTACAGTAGGTCATATCTGTGAGACTCGTCATACTGATGGCATCCGGAAAGTTGCGCCTGAAACCGAAGTGCTGGGCCCTAAGCCCTGCTTCAAAGCCCACATTTTTCAAGCCCAAGCTCAAACCCAACAGCTCTACAGAGCACGCGCTGGAAATCTACAGTTATGAAGGTTTTTCCGTAAGTTCCTCAAGTGCGGTCGTGGGCTTGCTGTGAGTTCGCGGGCACAGGCTGAGGCCATTTGGGGTTTGGGCTTTCGGGTGCTTGCATGACATGGGCTTGACAGCTTAACAGGGAAATACATCTTCATGAGTGAGTCGTATGTGTTGTTGATGGCCAGGCAGTTGTCGGAACATGCGAGATGAAGCTTCCGTTCCGTCATCCCATTCCACAGCGTCTTAAGTTGCCAAACCACCACGAAACGATTATTTGATAGTCTGCCATTTGATGGACCTCCATTAAACCCATCGGGCCACGCGTTAAAGCACAACTGGGCCATGGCTGGCAATGCCTTTTGTGTCTCAGAGTGAAAGACAAGGAGTACCACAAGCTGCCAGGCAAGCAACGAAACCCATAAGCCGCACAATCCAAAGGCCTAGAAGCCGTATTATGACTGCCTAGCCCTGTAACCCCTAAAATTCAGACACCTAAAGCCCCAAAACCCCGATGCTGCGAATTGAGGTCAGGGCTCCACTTGGCCTTGGGCCGTTTCTAGGCGGCGCTTGGGAAGCTTCTTAAATGCCCGTTTGGTTCGTATAGAGGTACCTATTCGTAAATAGTTTTACAGGTGTTTTTCATTTTCCCGTTTGGTTACTATAGAGGTACCTATTCACGAATACCTATAAGAGCCCTTAAACTCCCTAAGCCCTAAACTCCCTAAACCCTAAAGCCCAAAACTACAACCAAGGTTTGCCTCCTTGACCGCCTTGGACGAAGGGCCGATGTGATCAGCCACTTGGCTAGTTCTCTAAATTAGGATCCCTTTTTCTAAATCAGGATCCCCTTTAGATCCTTTTACAAGGGTGCCGTAGGATTTTGGGGGCCCAAGAAGGGTCCTAATTTCTTTCAGTTTTGTGTTTACCAAGGCTTTCGGGATTTGGTTTTTTTTTGTATGGCATCTTTTGATATTGTGTAGGTTTTGTTGAATTATGGCTTTAGGGAGTTTGGGGCTTTAGAGGTTTACGGGTTCAGAGGATAAGCTTCGGCTCAGGGACCTTGAAAAGTAGGTTGCAGGAAATTGGGGTTCAGCCGTACATAAGACTGATTCGGGATTACCCCATCTACCTTCATTCTGTTGATGATATTTATCCTGCACTACCCATAACAAGAAATATGCCATAAATCCCATAGTCTAGGGTCCTTAAGGTAATGCAGGCTTTGTATCATCAACTGTTCCACCCGTGAATCCTTTGGAACTTCCGGCAATGGTGAGCAGTACACGGTGAGGCTCAAGGCTTCGAGGAATGTGGCTAGTTCTCTAGATCAGGGTCCTCTTTTGTGAGGGAACCCTACTGGTTTGGGGGATCTATACAGGGACCCTAACGTAGAGACCTTACCTATGTAAAAGATTCTGGGAACGGGTGTTTCGCTGACATCGGGTTTATTATAGTTACGGCAGTTGCGGAGCTCTGTGCAGACTCAGACTAAGATGAGCATAAACTTGCTGCGGAGTTGGGGATACGCGGAAACCCTAAGCTTCTAAACCCTAAACCTAAACCCTACACCGTGGCTCGTTCTCATGTTTATAAGCCCAAGGCTTTGCTGCATTTTTCACGGTCCCTCTGGGTCAACCCTACATGATTTGAGAACCTCATACAGTAAACCCCATAAAGTTGGAAACCGGATTAAGGCCAAATCGTGCTGGGATGCGCTATAATTACACTACGCTTAAGGATTCAGTCTATTGGGTTTCAAACTTTTGGGCTTCTACTGTATTTCCATAAGATGTCGCCTGTGGTTTCCATCATGGCCGGCCATGCCAGCATGTTTGTGCTTCCCGCTACTGGTGTCTACGGTGTTACACCGTGCCTGCCAGAGTTGTTTTCGAGCATCGCGCAGAAGCCAACTCCAATGAATCGTGTACGTTGTGTGCCGGGTCTCGACAACAATTTCTGGATGCATGGGTGCAGTACCCCAAGACGGGCCAAAACGAAAGACAACTTGAAGCTTTCCCTACACTGCAAGATAATTTTCAACGCCATCGTAATCTTGAAAGATCCCCTTTTGCTGTCTTTCCACATGGAGCCTCACACCTAAAGCTGTAGCGCCGAAGCTTTGGTATCAGACCAGTACCCAACTAGTCGGGTTCTAGGACTCAGGAGCTATCCTCCGAAGGTTTTGGGACACCTCAAACCCTAAGAATTGCAGTGCTTCGGTTGATGATATAAATCCTGCACTACCCATAATAAGGAATATACCATAATTCCCGTAGTTTAGGGTCCGTAAGGTAATGCAGGCTTTCTATCATCAACCGTTGGACCCTTAGGGACACTCAGGTTTCGGCTCTGTGCTGACTGCCTGTGCAGGCCTGTCCGAGTCCACTGCCAGGGGGGGGTTCGGGGGTTCCATGAATTTGGAGCTGAATTTGGAGCTCTTATAGGACAGGGCTTCCTACTGTAAGGCCCTGAAAAATTACCTATAGTATTTTGGGGGGCGTTCCCTGTTGTACTTACAGTATAATGGGCTCCGGAACCCTATTCTAACTACTTAAGGGCCGTATAGTACATGACGTCCCTAAGCCTCCGACCTTGAACGACTTCCTGTTGCGGCAGCTTGCTGAGATTTGGAGTTTCTGTTTTGATGTCTGAACATGTCCCCGAAGGTCCACAGAATGTTAGGAGTCGGTTTTTTGCATCATCCAAGCTTCAGGCTCTGTAGGTCAGGCACCTAGTAAAAGTCGCCCTGATAGTCCCCATGTGGTACACGACTACCTCAGCATACATCCCATTGCCTGCGCAAGCGCGCCCGCATTCGCCCGCATTTTACTGAAACACAATGCGAGTGAAGGCTGAGAATCTTGAGCGGGTGCTGCGCGGGATTTAAGCTCCTTCTTCGCGTGGTGCACAAGCAGACGTGTTGCTTGTCCGTCCGTCCGTCCGTTTGCCGGTAGTTGTTTTATATTATTCTATCGAAGAGCTATCCATCTGCTTATAATTGTCTGCATGTATATCTATCTGATATGCCCGGAAGGCTGTCACTGGCCTGTGGTCCTGGATCTCCTGTCTGCGATGCAGCAGATGGGTATCAACCCAGACGTGGTGGGCTGCAATGCGGCACCTCTTTCTGCTTAGTAGCGGAGTTTATAGACTTTGAACTTTTTGGGATAATGAAACCCTCTTAAAACTGAAAGTTTAAACTTTTTTGGGCTTATGAACTCCGCACCTAAGTCGGAGTTCGTAGGAAAGGCTGTTGCTTTCAGGGAGAAGAATTCCCCAAGATTCCTTGAGGCTTTCCTTTGAGGGTACCATTCGCGGGGTAGGGTTTAGCTAGAGGAACCAAGCTACCTAGAACACGGTAATCTTGAAAAATCTACGAATTTGTTGAGGTCATCTCCCTTGTTTAAATTAAGGTACATTGGTGAATCTAGAAGGCTTTGGAGGTGTAGAGCGTGCCTTAACCCCAAAGAAACTACATTTGTAAGGACTTGTATACAGAAATCACAATAAGGAACCCTCAAAACGGTAGGTTATTCAGGCTTGAAAAAAGAAATCACAATAAGGAGCCCTCAAAAAGGTAGGTTATTCAGTGTTAAGGTGGGGTTTGCGGACCTGCTCTTCAGGGCCGTGTCAAACTCCTCGAAGCACTGGACCTCGAAGCCCGAAGGCCCTAAGCCCTAAACCCTGAACCCAAAAGCCCCTATACGGTTGATGATATAAATCCTGCATTACCCATAATACGGAATATACTATAATTCCCATAGTTTAGGGTCCTTAAGGTAGTGCAGGATTTATATCATCAACCGTACCTCATCTAAGTACTCATATATGAAGGCTTTTGGGCCCGAAGGCCATACGCTATAAGGCTCTTGGGCTATTTTGATGCCCAGGGTAAGTCCCCCCTAAACCCCTGAACCCTCGACCCTAAACTTCAAGACCCCCCAACACCCCAAACCTCCCTAACCCTTAAGCCCCAACACCCCTCAACCCCAAAGACCCCAAACTCCCTAACCCCTAAACCCTAAACCCCAACACCCAAAACCGACACGCCTAAACCCTTCAACCTGCAAGCCGCAACCCTAAACCCTAAATTATCCTCGGCCCTAGCCCCCGAAAGCCCCAGAACTCCCCAACCGTCCCTAACTCCCGAAATTAAGCCCTAAACCCAAACACCCCGAAACCCCTGAACCTCGACCCTAAACTGCAAGACTTACTAAACCCGAAACCCCTAAACCCTAAACCCCAACACCACGAAAGCCCTTCAACCCTCAGCCCTAAACCCCAAGACTCACTAAACCCCATACCCCTATCCCCCAAGACCCACTAAACCCGAAACCCCTAAACCCCAACACCCCAACACCCCGAAAACCACCGAACCCAGGCAATTTCGGCCTGGGATCGGAGCGGCAGGTGGGAGGAGGCCGGGCGTCGAACATTCGCCTGGGGCGCTTCCTTTTGAGTGCTCCTCTCAAGGTTTCCTTTCAAAGGGGTCCTTTAGGGGTTCCTTTATTCCTTTGATAGGGTTCCTTTCAAGGGTTCCCCAAATCGTCCAACATTCTTTAATCAAGGAATATACATGAAGGATTACTACTATAATCTGAGGTGTGTTCCTTAATTTAGTGGTTTGGGGGGGTCTGGGTACTTTAAGGGAGCCCTGGTCATGAACTTTATAGTAGTTCTGAAAGGACCCTTTATAGCAACTTGTTGTAGTATCCTTTAAACATTTAAAGGAGCCCCCAAAGCTCGGAAGCCATCAAAAGCCCTAAACGAGCCTCAGGTTCAGGGTTTTGGGGTTTAGCGTTTTCATGTTAGGGAACTTAGCAGCTTAAGATACCTTGAAAGGGGTCTATAGTAGTAAGTACTGTGGTTTCCTTATGGTGGTAACTTACATTAAATCCCTTAACAAGAACCCGTGTTGTGGTTTTGGGCCCATGGCTTGGTGGTTCGGAGTGCTGGGGCTGGGATTAGGGCATGAAAGTGTGACTTTGCTTTGCAGGATCATGGGACCGAGTAAGTACGGTTCTAAGTGCTTATTAGTATATACTTTTGTTGCAACCCTAGATACTATATTAACCCTAAGCCCTGAACCCCGAAACTCCTAGATACTATATAAGCCTAAATGCTAAACCCTAAACCCCAAATTCCTACATAAACAATTATAAGCCTAAACCCTAAAGCTTAAACTCCTAGATACTATATAAGCATAAACCCTAACCCTAGACCCTTAAGTCCCATGCCCCTTTAAGTCGGGAGATTATCGTGTGGGCTCCGTCCTTTTCCGGCAGGCACTTCATCTCTTCTATGCCATGCCTCAGATTCGCCGTTCCCCTGATACCGCTGCTTGGAAGCAGAGCTTTAGGGTTTAGGGTTTACGGTTCAGGCTTTTCGGGTTTAGGCTTTTAGGGTTGAGGGTTCAGGGAGTCGGGTGCTTTTCCGAACGGTAAAGGATTTGGGTGCACGTCCCGAAGCCCAGAAGGAACCAGAAACCCCAAATCCATCCAAATCCCTCAACCTGACAAACCTTCACCCCAAACCCTGAACTAAGCCCTAACTAAACCCGGAACTAAGCGCTAAACCCAAAACCCCAAACCCTAAACCCTTCACCCCCAAACCAAACTACGTCGAACATGTTATGTGCTTTGCAGGGAGCTCTAACAACCCGGAGACTCCAATACCTGCTAGTTATATATATGCATATATATATATATATACATATATATATATATATGTATATATGCGCATATACATATACATACACATACAGATACATATACATACATACATACATACATACATACATACATACATACATACATATATATATATATATATATATATACATATATATATACATACATACACACACATATATATATATACACATACATATGTATGTATGTACCTTCTATTACAGAGGAATGCTGAACATGCTCGAAGGTATATTGCTTTGTTGCGGGGCTTTGGAGTCTTTGCCAGCTTGCGTGGGAAAAACCTTACCACCTGGATCCTCTTTAGGGAAAACTTGATGCTCAGCTTCTCAACTCTCGGGTTTCTGCACGTTTTCCCTACTGGCTGTGTGGGGTCTACCTGTTGCTCTAACTGCCGTTTATTCTGCGGGCTTGTTGGTAGGGTTGTGGGCGGCTGAGGGTAGCCTAGGGACCCTAGATTCAATCCCAAACCGCGACACCCCAAGCCCTAACGATCTTTGGCACCGCAGAGGTCAGCTACAACGCGGCCATCAGCGCTGCAGGGACAGCAGGTCCAGTTAAAACCTAAACCCTAAACCCCGAAACCCTAAACCCTAATACCCCAAAATGACCCGAATAGATGAGGGTTGAGGAGGTCCAATGAGTACGAGACCCAGAATGAGTCTTAGGGGTAAATAGAAATAGTTTTAAGCTTTTGGTTATAATAATCCCGAAGAAACAGCTAAACTTTAAGTTTTTGCTAGGGTTCTAAGTTCAGTATAGGATGGATGTAGACCCTTGATATTAACAAGCCCTGAATCCTAAACCAAAACCCTAAACCCTAAACCCCACCTCAAGCCCAGACGGAGTGTGTCGGGGTTCAGGCCTTTGGCAGCTGGCGCTTCACCTCCTTGGTGGCCTCGAGGAGGCTCTCCGGGCCGTTTGGGGGGTTTAGGGATGTAGGGGTTTAGGGGTTTAGGGTTTAAGTTTGGGGTTTGAGGGATTTAGGGATTTAGGGGTTTAGGGGTTTAGGGTTTAGGGTTCAGCAGCTCCGGTTCGAGCAGTTTTAACGTAGAGTTGTGTTTACAGTTTAGATATAACACCCACCCACCCTTAGAATCCCATAACATTAAGAAAATACAAAGTTTTACTTCTATCTCTCACATGAGTACCATTCATAGTTTACTCTCATTCACACATACATGATTTCACGACCCTAAAACCTCTTTGCAGAATTGTTTCGCCTATTGGGGCGTTAAAGAGAAAACCTCTCACAGAATTGTTTCGCTTATTGGGGCGTTCGGAATGGAAATCTCTTGCAGAAGTGTTTCGCTTATTGGGGCGTTAGGAAGAAAAATGGTATGGGGGTCTGACCCCGAAAATTGCCTTAGGCAACGAATGGTGTGGGGGGCCCCCCCCGCGCGGGCGCGAAATCTGACCAGCTAAACCCCGAAAATTGCCTTAGGCAACGAAGGGGATTAAAGTCTAAATATTCATATGATAAAGAGGTTTAAGTTTCGGAGTTGCGGGATTTGGGGATTTAGGGGTTTGGGGTTTAGGGATTTGGGGGGGTTGGGTTTGCAGTCACAGAGGCTAAAGGGTTCTAAGTCCCTACATGGCAGGCACTTACCTAAATCATAATCGTAGTTCTCATCATGGAAGTCTTACTTTCTACAAAATAGGTACTTAGGATCCTTTGGGAGGGTTTCCTTGAGCCCGAAATAGCCTACAGGCCCGATATTGAACCTTGAGCCCTCATTTTCCAGCCCGTGTAGAAGCCCACCACAAACAACGCACCAAGTTCAAGATTCAGACTCCTTTGCAGTCTTTGGAACCAAGTGTCACAGCTTCGAACGGCCTGCCAAGTGATCCCGCAGTGGTTCCTTATATTCAAGCAGAGATTTGTGTTGATTTGTAGTTCTCCAAACCTCAGAAATCTAAGCTTTTCTTGCTCGGTTGTGGGAACTTAAGGCCTTGTTCGTCCCCTTTAAACCCGAGATAAATCCTAAACCTTTAAACCCTAAACCCTGAAGGGCTCTGGACTCCGGACGCCTGACCTCTGAACCCCCCAAAAATCCTGAACCGCCAAGCCCCTACGCCCTACATCCTCCGAAGTCCTAAACCCTTAAACCCCAAGCCCCCGCCCTAACCCATATACCACCTAAACCAATATTTCCCGAAACCCTAAACCCTAAAAAAGTAAAACCCTCTGCCCTCCAACCCCCAGAGCTTACCTTTGGTTAGTAGAGAATGGAGGATTGGGGTACAAGTATAACTACTATGACTACCATTCTTCCATTCCCTACGAACCAAAGGTAAGAAAACGCCCTGAAGCCCCAGGCTTCTCTGCTTCCCCGGGGGGGTTTAGTAGGGATTAGGGTTCCCATAATAGGGTTTAGGGTTCAGGGTTAAGGAACCCCTACCCCAAGAATCTTTAAACCACCCCCCCTTTTGGCCTCTCACCACAGGCTTCTCTGCTTCCCAGCGACGTGACCTACAACTCGGCCTTGGATGCGTGTGCTCGTGGGGGCGCCTGGGAATCTCGGCTGCTTCGTATTGTTAATATGGGAGTTTCTGAAAATTAGGGGTACCTTGAAAGGAATATATAAGGGTTCCCTAAAGGGATCTATAAGGGTTCTGTAAAGGGTTTAGAGTTTAGAGTTTCTAACAATTGACTTGCTTTGGGGTGGTGCTTATAGCAAGGATCTTACTATTTAGGGTGCTACATTACGGTCCCCTATTTTCGGACACTCGCATATAAGGGAGTCAATAATTAGAAGATGGTTTTGGAGTATCTTGTACTGTAATTTTGATAAGGAGCCCTCAATTTAGGCCTCTATACTATATGTAGGACCAGGATCATTAACGTAAGGCTACCCAAGTAAGGGTATCTTACTATTGAGTCCCTTCGTGGCCTTCTGAAGCCTTGGTCTGCTTCTTGGAGGAGTATGGTGGGTTTCTGTACCTTAAATTACCATAACCTATTTGTTGGTAGGTTTCCTAACCCGAATATGTATGGAATTTGTAGGGATCTTACAAACAAGTTGGGCTTTGGTAGGTTCAAGGTAGGGGCCTGAGAAGTAGAGAAGGTATCTAGTAAGACTCCGACGAAATTTGTTCGCACAACACCCGTTGCCTTAGTCTAGTCATTCAGGCCTCAATGTTGCATCGGGCGATCAGCGAAGGGTTTTTGGTGGAACGAGGCTGGGTGTCAGTTCTGCCATAATTGTCTGTATCGGACTTGCGCATCGTGAGCTTCACGTTTTCGTCTTCGGGCTCGTAGTGCATGTATGTAGGACTTCATGTTTTCTCATGCTTTTTTGCTAATTTGGAGACTAGTAATCGTAACCCTAAGATCTCATCACAGCCACCCATATAAAGCCTTACGCGAAGCAGGTCTGAGCCAAAACCTAAGCCTGCAGAGCTAGGTTTTAGGGTTTGTTGTACCCTACAACACCTTGGAAGCCCGTAATCCTTTTCAATCAAATCTATGAGACCAAAACTTTTAAACAGCTCCTGAGTCAGAAGCCCAAAGCCATGACCCTAGACCTTGCTGCTGGTAAGGAAAGGGCTCTTGTTCTCTTCGATGCGCGGGAACCAGATGTGGTGAGCTGCGGCAGTGCCATCAGTGCCCGGATGAAGAGCCCCAATGGTTGTTGGTTTAGGGTTTTGGATGTTGGAAGCCGGAACTCGATATCGTCTAAGGGACCCAGTGATGCGGTCTGCTATAGGGTTTCTACACGGCGTCACGGGGTGCTGTAAGAGCTGGAATGAAACAGGTATTGTGGCCACAATCCCAGGATAGGGAGATGTTTCCAGCTTTCTGTGGGGACCGTGGAGTAGGCGTCAATACTTTAGGGATCCCCTCTCTCACTCCTGCTTTAGCACCAGTATTGAGCCCTAACCCCAAAACCCTCAACCCCAATCACAATCAGCCCTAAACCCGAAACCCCAATCATAATCAGCCCTACACCCTAAACCGCACCAGCTCCTTTTTTTGGCAGACATTAAAACGGAGCTTTAAAAATCGCACCAGTATGTAATCAGGTGCTTGCTGCCAGCAAAGCTTATGGTCTCTTTGCTTGGAGCTACTTCAAAGCATGCCAAGGCTCGCCTTCGGTGTTTTTTTTCGGAGTGGTTTCGGGTTTAGGGTTGAGGGCCTTACCTAGGTATCGGGTTTAAGTAAGGTCTCCCTAAACGCTACTTGGAGGTTCGTGGATAGTTAGAGGTGGGGTTATAAGTAAGGAAGCTACACTTATAACCCTTATATTCGGGCCCCACCTATAGATACCCACGAACCTCACTGTAAATCCTGGTGCAATGGCAACAAGCATGGCCTGAACAATCGTGCTTGTAACCGGGGGCTTGCTGAGCGGGTCCGCAGTTTAAACTTTATGGATTATCGTGTTCATCCTCTTTAAGAAGCCTGAAACAAACACTTCGAGTCTCTCCAGGCAGAGATTGCCAGCGAATGTGCGCAACTCAGGGGTGAGCATCCTGTGCATGGGGCTTTCGCGCTTCTTCGTCTTATCGGGATTTGGGATTTCGGGGTACTTAGAAATACTTATTCATTTTTGTTGATGATAATCCCTAAGAATACCGAAAATCAAAGTTTTTGCTAGGGGGTTAAGTTCAGTATAGTGGGGTTTTGGGCCTTATTGGTTCCAAAAATAGGAGACATTGAAGCAAGAGCCCTAAACCTTAAACCCTAAACCATAAAGCCGAAAGGGTTTGGGGAGTCTTTCTGTCGCTGCCAGAGTATGTGCTTTTGGGGATTCTTGCTCAGGACCTGGCGTGGGACCGCTGTAAACTTTAGAGTTCTTAGGATTGTTTTTAAGTGTTGAGGGTTTGGGCTGTTTGGGAATGTGTTAAAACTCCCGGGGATTATTGAACATATCATCACTGTTGTGGTTCTGAGGATGCGAAGAACAATCTCTGCATGAATGACAAGAACCTCTACATGTCGGGTTTAAGGGCATAGGGCTTGGGGGCTTTGGGTTGTTTAGGGTTTAAGGGTTAAGAGTTAAGGACTTGGGGTCTAGTGTTTTCGGGTTTACAGTTTAAGGGTTCAGGGGGAAGCCACCATGAAGGCCCGGGGTGCCGATTTCGCATCATTTTGGTAAGTCGCCCCCTGGTACCTTGTGCCCCGTTGGGGGGTGGGGGGTAAGCGGGCATCCTTCTTGTTACCACAGGGCCTTCGAAAATTTGAATAGGTTTTTACGATGTATCAGACTATAATATTTACAACATAAATATAATAAGGAACCCCCAAAACAGTATTGTTGCTTATTTCGGCCCATATCGTCCATACTTGGATAATGGGAGACCTCCCTGTACACACTTATAACACAACCCAAGGCAAAGGCACCCCTTGGTGGCCCAGCAAGAATGCCTGCGAAACCCTTTTTCAGGGGCCTCGAAAGAGGATGATGGTAGGTGGGGTAATCGCGAAACGGGGGTCCTCATAGACGAGATTCTTCATCCCACCTACCTTCATCCCACCTCTTGAGGGCTCCAACTTTTGCCCCAAACCTTATAAGCCCTAAGCCCTAAACCCTATAAACCCTACACCCTTTTAGAGGTGGTGACCTTCACCAGTGCCATCAGCGCTTGCCACAACGCCAGTCAGCATCTCGTCGGATGCGGTGCAGACTTCCAAAACAGGTTTTGGGAGGCTTTAGGGGTTAGGGTTTAGGGCTTCAGGGTTTTTGGATGTTAGGGTATAGGGCTTTCGGGTGTTGGTTTTTGGGGCTTTAGGGGGTTTAGAGTCTGTAGGGCCTAGGGGGTTCAGGGTTTAGGGCTTCGGGGCCTTGAAGGATGCGGCGCACGTTAACCTACCAAAGCCTACTTTTTGTGGGGTTCCTATAAATTCCATGTAAAAAGGGTTTATAAGTAATAAGAACCTGCAAAAAATTATGGTTTGGAAATTTAAGGTAGTGCTTCCAGTGTTTGCGGTTTAGGACTTGCGGGAAGGACGCTTCTTGTGGGCTTGGGCATGTAGCATTGAGACCCTGGTTTTCGGGACACGGCTGGGGATTGGTAAGGTAACTTTAGGTTTCGGGTTCAGGCACTGTTGCAGTTGAGGGTTGAGGCTCCCAAGCCGTAAACTCAACCATGAACGTCGGAATGGTTGCTGATAGCATTCCTTTCGTCCCCAATATAGCAATATAGGTATACCTTGATTAACAACTATACGGTGAAAACCCTGCTATGCTTACCAATGCCCCTAAATTATCCTCTCTTAGTAACTTAAGCCGCAAACCTAGACATGCACACCATCATGCAAACCAGCCAAATCGCATATGTATGTGCACTTTTAGAAGGTGAGTACTGTAAGGCACATGTATATGCTGTATGAGTAGGTGGCCCCTTTGGGAAAGCTAGGTGGCTCATGGCTGTCTCGCTGCTCGCTTCGATGTCTCAGCAAGCAGCGGAGCCGAACACCGCGACCTACAACTCAGACACCTGGCGGGGTTTTGGGTTCAGGGTTTAGGGGTTTAGGTTTTGGGGTTTAGGAATGATCTCTTTCTGGTGCCGATCATATCGAATCCTAGATAGGTCCATTCCCTTAACAATAAGAGTTCCATAAGGGGTTGCTTTGTGTGGGCGCATGGCTCTTATTATCATTTTTGAGTACTATGCTTTGTTACTCGTTTCG